TTGATGATCGTGTCCTAGTTGAGGCATTGATAGTTTACGAGATCGTGTCCTAGTTGAGACATTGATAGCTCAAGATTGTGTCCTAGTTGAGACATTGATAGTTAGATAGATAGATATAGGTCTGGATATATATAAATTGAACAATCTACTATCTTAATATCATCTACATCAACCCCAATAGAAGGTTTATTATACCTCAAAGAGTTCCAGCAGAAAAAGCAGATCAATATACATCTACATATACATTTTTCATATTTTAACACGAGGCTAGTGAAGGCTTCCTAAAGTGATTTTTACAAAGGAATTGAGTTTTTGCCACAAACTCTGACTTTATAATTCCTATAACTTTGTAACCCATTTTCTTAGAGCTTTGATATTTCAAACTATTAATTCTGTTAGATCAAATAGTCTAAGTTTGAAATAATAAAGGTTTGCACCATCAGGTTGTAAAGATATTGAGATAGACAATGCGATTTTGAGGCAAAAACTCAATTCCTTTTTTACTAGAATTTAAGTGTTATAAAAGTTTGTTTATTCATAATTAGGAGTAAAGGTTATATGGCCGGCTTAGCTATTTCTCCTGAACACGTTCCCAATTATGTTAATTAACTCTTATAATGTATGTTCTCAAATCTTTTTATTATAACTAAGCGTTCTTCTGAAAACCTAGCAACTCGAAACATAAAATGATTTCCTATGAGCATGCATTGTCAAGAATTGACTGAACTATTTGATAAATACACAGTTAAAGTCTTATTTCATATAAAATCTGGATTTATGAATTTCTTAATATCTATCTTTTAACGATTCAAAACTGAATGTCTAACTGCGTTACATTATTTACAAAAATACTGCGGAAATCAGTGACATTTTATAGTTTTTAAAGTTTCATGTTAATTAGGAAACATTTCAGTTCCCCTATCCAGCATCTACTCGTATATATGCTGGTTTAAAATCTCCAATCCTTCACCTCCCCCCCCCCTCACAACACGTTATAATTTCCATGCAACGCCTGGACTAAGTGCAAACTATTTTTTAATAAGGATCCAATTCCTCCCTCCATCCTCCCCCTTTCCATATGTAACGTATGAAAATTAACCGGAACTTTTTCAAGGTTATTTCTTCTCCCCCTCCCTTTCCTCTCCCTACCCCTACCCCCACCCCTCGACCCCTGAGGGGATATTTAAAAAGTATCCCTCCGTCCCCATCCTTCTTTCTTCGTCTATGTTCCCCCTTACACAACATGCATGTCCGTTACAACCCTACTTCCTTTAACTAAATTTCAAATCTAAGGGAAAGAACATTACATCAGAAAACGTAACAACGTTGATATAATGATATATTTATGCAAATAAATGCTATCTATATTTTCAACAAACTCAGAACTAAAGAGTTTTCCCCGTAAAAAAAGATTAAAAGTTGGATGATAAAAAAATACGTAAAATAGGTAGTCGACTTTGAAATCTGGAAAAATGGGTTAGGCTAGAGTAGAAGGATATTGAGGGGTAGCTGATTTTGAGAAGAGAGTTAGATCAAGTAATAAGAAAGGGGTTGATCTAGGTACTGGAATAGGGCCGGTTGGATCAAGGTGTAAGAAGAGGTTGGATCAAGGTCTAGGAAGGGGTTGGATCAAGGTCTAGGAAGGGGTTGGATCAAGGTATAGGAAGAGGGTTGAATCAAGGTAAAGGAAGGGGTTGGATCAAGATATAGGAAGGAGGTGGGATCAAGGTATAGGAAGGGGTTGGATCAAGGTACAGTTAGAGGTTGGATCAAGGTATAGGAAGGGGTTGGATCAAGGTACAGTAAGAGGTTGGATCAAGGTATAGGAAGGGGGATGAATCAAGCTATATGAATGGGTTGGATCAAGGTATAGGAAGGGGTTGGATCAAGGTATAGGAAGGGGTTAAATCAATTTACAGGAAGTGGTTGGATCAAGGTATAGGTAGGGGTTGGATCAAGGTACAGGAAGAGGTTGGATCAAGGTATAGGAAGGGGTTGGATCAAGGTACAGGAAGAGGTTGGATTAAGGTATAGGAAGGGGGATAAATCAAGCTATATGAATGGGTTGGATCAAGGTATAGGAAGAGGTTGGATCAAGGTATATGAATGGGTTGGATCAAGGTATAGGAAGGGGGATGAATCAAGGTATATGAATGGGGTTGGATCAAAGCATGGTAGATGGAGAACTATAGCGTAAATAAGGAAGGATGGGGTTAAGTTGTTTATAGTGGAGATCTAGGGGGTAGATAAATAAGGATGGGGTTAAGATGTTTATAGTGGAGATCTAGGGTATATAAGGAAGGAAGGGGTTAAGATATTTATAGTCGAGATCTAGGGTATATAAAGTAGGAAGAGGTTGTAGATGCTTATAGTGGAGATCTAGGGTACATAAGGAAGGAAGAGGTTGGAGATGTTTATTGTGGAGTTCTAGGGTATAAAAGGTTGGAAGAGGTTGTAGATGCTTATAATGGAGATCTAGGGTACATAAGGAAGGAAGAGGTTGGAGATTTTTATAGTGGAGTTCTAGGGTATATAAGGTTGGAAGGGGTTGGAGATGTTTATTGTGGAGATCTAGGGTATATAAGGAAGGAAGGGGTTGGAGATGTTTATAGTTGAGATCTACGGTATAAGGAAGGAAGGGGTTGGAGATGTTTATAGTGGAGATCTACGGTATAAGGAAGGAAGGGGTTGGAGATGTTTATAGTGGAGATCTACGGTATAAGGAAGGAAGGGGTTGTAGGGGTTCGTAAAGGGGATTATTGAACGAGGTAAAGGATTAAATGAGGTTTAGTTGGTAGAAAAGGGAGGGTGGGGATGGAGGGGAAGAAATTAAAATTTTAAAAAGCTTCTAAATTATAAATTGTTGAAGTATTAAATACTAAAATAGACTTGTGAAATGTATTTGGTTAAGAAAACACTTGAAACATTTAATCATCTTTTATATTAAATCAGCTGCTCCCCTACCCCCTCATTTAAATACTAAAAAATCTGGTCATGTGACCCTGNGTGACCCCCTGATCCGCAGATGTAACCCAATGTTTTGCATACAAGCATATAGGGGAACTTTCAATACCGATATACAATAAATTGGACAGTTTCCCGTATTCAATACCGATATAAATTAGGTTGGACAGTTTTCCATATTCTATGCCGATATACAGTTGGTTGGACTGTTTCCCATTTCCAATACAAATATTCAATAGGTTGGACAGTTTCCCATATTCAATACCGATATAAAGTAGGTTGGACATTTACCCATATTCAATACCGATATAAAGTAGGTTGGACAGCTTCCCATATTCAATACCTATATAAAGTAGGTTGGACAGCTTCCCATATTCAATACTTATATAAAGTAGGTTGGACAGTTTCCCATATTCAATACCGATATAAAGTTGGTTGGACAGTTTCCCATATTCAATACCGATACAAAGTAGGTTGGACAGTTTCCCATTTTCAATACCGAAATAAAGTAGGTTGGACAGTTTCCCATATTCAATACCGATATAAAGTAGGTTGGACAGTTTCCCATATTCAATACCGATATAAAGTAGGTAGGACTGTTTCCCATATTCAATACCCATATACATTAGGTTGGACAGTTTCCCATTTTCAATACCGATATAAAGCAGGTTGGACAGTTTCCCATATTCAATACCGATATACATTAGGTTGGACAGTTTCCCATATTCAATACCGATATATCATAGGTTGGACAGTTTTCCATATTTAATCTATTGTTTGTTATTGTATGCGGTATAAATTAGCAGCGATAGTTACCCATAACGATCACAATATCAAACATCTAAAAATGCAAAGATTAAAAGAGATATTTCTATTATTAGAAAAACAGCATTTCTTAAGTTAAAAAAAAATCTTTTCAAATCTCGTAGTTTTTGTTTCTTTGACCGTTTATTATCTTATTTACTATTTATTTTCTCTAAATATCATGTTGTTTCTTTGACTGGTTATTATCTTATTTACTATTTTTTTCTCTAAATGTCATGTTTTCTTTTATCTTATTTACTATTTTTTTTCTCTAAATGTCATGTTGCTTCTTTGACTGTTCATTATCTTATTTACTATTTTTTTCTCTAAATGTCATGGTCATGATGTTGTTTCTTTGACTGTTTGTTATCTTATTTGTTATTTTTTTCTCTAAATGTCATGTTGTTTCTTTGACTGTTTATTATCTTATTTACTATTTTTTTCTCTAAATGTCATGTTTTCTTTTATCTTATTTACTATTTTTTTTCTCTAAATGTCATGTTGCTTCTTTGACTGTTCATTATCTTATTTACTATTTTTTTCTCTAAATGTCATGGTCATGATGTTGTTTCTTTGACTGTTTGTTATCTTATTTGTTATTTTTTTCTCTAAATGTCATGTTGTTTCTNAGGGAGGGTGGGGGAGCACTCTTTATTATGCGTTTTCGGTTTGAACCCCATCTGTCCAGTTCAGCCTTTTTTTTCAGACGGGTTTTTGTTATGCAAAGAGATATATATGCAACATAGCATACAGATTATCCTTTTTGCCCTATCCCTACCCTTTAACTCCCGTGGGGTTCTCCGAATAAAGCAAGAATGAGTGGAGGATGGGGGGGGATTATAAACAATGGAATGCATAATCAAAGGATATTAAGGACAGGGCTACCCCTGGATAGAAAAGAATAAAAACACAATAATTCAACGTTTATTCAAATAAATGAATCAGGGTTGCATAACTTAACATTTTTGTTTCGAAATGCTACTTGCCAGGTTGAAACAAATAGCTAAGAATAGGAAAAAAGGGACTGTACAATATGGTCGCAATCTTTAAAAAATCAACAATGAAAATATTAATAATGTGCAGGAGGATGAATTTGAATTATTAACAGACACTGGTAGATGAGAGCCATGACGAAGAAAGGCATGATCAAGAAAGACAAGAACAAGAAAGGCATGATGTAGAAAGGTTTGAAGAAGAAAGGCAGGAACAAGAAAGACAAGAACAAGAAAGACATGAAGAAGAAAGGTTTGAAGAAAAAAGGCAGGAACAAGAAAGACAAGAATAAGAAAGGCATGAAGAAGAAAGGCAGGAACAAGAAAGGCAGGAACAAGAAAGACAAGAACAAGAAAGACATGAAGTAGAAAGGCATGATCAAGAAAGACAAGAAAAAGAAAGACATGAAGTAGAAAGGTTTGAAGAAGAAAGGCAGGAACAAGAAAAACAAGAAAAAGAAATGCATGAAGTAGAAAGGTTTGAAGAAGAAAGGCAGGAACAAGAAAGGCAAGAACAAGAAAGACATGAAGTAGAAAGGCATGAAGAAGAAAGGCATGCTCAAGAAAGACAAGAAAAAGAAAGACATGAAGTAGAAAGGTTTGAAGAAGAAAGGCAGGAACAAGAAAGACAAGAACAAGAAAGGCATGAAGAAGAAAGGCAGGAACAAGAAAGGCAGGAACAAGAAAGACAAGAACAAGAGAGACATGAAGTAGAAAGGCATGAAGAAGAAAGGCATGCTCAAGAAAGACAAGAAAAAGAAAGCCATGAAGTAGAAAGGTTTGAAGAAGAAAGACAGGAACAAGAAAGGCAAGAAAAAGAAAGGCATGAAGTAGAAAGGGTTCAAGAAGAAAGGCAGGAACAAGAAAGGCAAGAATATGAAAGGCATAAAGTAGAAAGGTTTGAAGAAGAAAGGCAGGAAAAAGAAAGGCATTTAGTAGAAAGGCTTGAAGAAGAAAGGCAGAAATAAGAAAGGCAAGAATATGAAAGAAAAATAAATGAGCGGATAATTAAAACTGTCCTAATATTAAAAACTAAATTAAAAGTTTTTAAAAAAATGTAAAAATATATAAAATTTAAACATAGATTAACCTAGTGCCGAATACTACAACTTCTCGTATACTACACTACAAGCATTCGTGGTGTAAAATACTAAAAGTATTCGTGGTGTAAAATACTAAAAGTATTCGTGGTGTAAAATACTAAAAGTATTCGTGGTGTAAAATACTAAGAGTACTCCTAAGGTATAATACTAAAAGTACTTCTGTGTAGAACACTAAAAGTATTCGTGGTGTGAAATACTATAAAAAACTCCTAGTGTAGAATACTAGAAGTACTTCTGAGTAGAATACTAAAAGGACTCCTAGTGTAGAATACTAAAAGTACTTCTAAGTAGAATACTAAAAAAACTCCTGGCGTAGAATACTAAAAGCACTCCTAGTGTAGAATACTAAAAAACTCTTAGTATATACTACAAAAAGTACTCCTAGCGTAGAATACTGAATGTACTCCTAGTGCAGAATAATATAAAAGCACTCCCACAGGAATCTCTGAGTGGTCTAAGCGTGGTCTAATCTGCTATGTAATCTTCTTAATGATATTGTAATTGATTAATTAATTAATGATATCGTCTGATCTAGAATACCTCTATCTAGAACCTTCAACAACTAGCTGGGGGGTTCACAGCCATAACATGTACGTGTACTAACTCTATGGGGGTTCGACTGGTCTGAAGGGAGGGGAAGGGACGGGGATATAAGCTGGTTAGATGGGAGAGGGGGAGGTTAAACCTAAAATATGATTGTACTATATCTGTTCTGAAATATAGCATCAACAAATTATTATCCTTCGTCTTCACTTCATACATATAATATATATACATATATACATATAAGATACTCACACAGTTATATTGTACTAACATATACTAGACCAAACATGCTGGAGGGTACTCATAAATATTTGTACAAGGAGAGTTTCGTAGACTTAAATTACAACTTTGGATGGTTAAAATAAACCAAAATTTAGAAGGCATTGGCAAACATTGAAAGTAAAAAATAAAAAGCATTGGGATTGAAAAACGTTTTTCATCTGTAAAGAAATTACAAGGTAAAAACCTTCCTGTAGCATAAATCGTAGAAAAAAATAAACTGGAGCTTAATAGTTATATTATTTTGTTTTTTTTACAAGAATGACAGGAGAGACGGGGGGTGGGGGGAGCCTTACTTTGGGCAAGGTGTTGAGCGTTTTTATGATAGACTACATAGTATAGATTGAGGATTATAGGGATACAATGAATGATAAAGGAATGTAAGGATGAGTTTGATATTTTTAATTGATCCTTTCAGATCCTTCAATCATACTAGTTTAGGTTTATCATAGCCCCCCCCCTTCCATACATCCTATCATAGCTTTTTGTAATTCCTAACAGCATTGTTTTCTTATTCATTAAATTTCTCGTTGAACAGATCTGGATTACAAATGTTTGCAGATAAATGTAAAATGACAGAGTAAAATTATTTTCTTTTCCTAAATCAACAAAAAAAAATTCATAAATATCAACAACAAAAACAGCAATCGACCACAAATGACGTCAAAATTCACAAATATTTCATCTGACCACACATGTCTTTTGTCCGGTGTTGTTTAAATTCTTTTTAAGTACTTAACATTGTTGTATTCTAAATTTGTTTATAATGGTTTAAAATATTATATCCTATTTTTGTGAGTTGTGACGTCATTTGTAGTGCAGATGAAAAATGGTGTGGTGTGCCTTCCCTCGCTCATCCAACACACGTCAAGATGGCTAAAGCAATCAGACTCATTGATTGACTCACCAGTCCCATGACCCTAGAAATGGTCTATGGTAATTTAAAATTTAAAAAAATTTGCCTTCAAAATTTTTTTTTTTTCATTTTTGAAATCGACAAACGAAACAGGAAAATTTGTTGTAATCTGATTAAATGCACGAAAGGCTGAAGAGATAAATCCACAATAAAAAGATGCGAATATTCGTCTAGTTCTCACAAATATGGACACGAAGCGCTATGTAAACCTAGTTTTACAGTAGTTAGGCATTATAAAAGTTTGGGATGGAATTACACCACAAAATGTAACGCTTCGAGAAAATAAGAACTAAGTTTGTTTACATTATTCGCGGGGCATATTTTTCAAACCAAATATTTGAGGGGATATTTAATAATAACAATTATCTAACTCCTTATATTCATATATTGTAAAAACAAATGAGATGACTAGATCAAACAAATGAGATGACTAGATCAAACAAATGAGATGACTAGATCAAACAAATGAGATGACTAGATCAAACAAAGATCAAACAAATGAGATGACTAGATCAAACAAATGAGATGACTAGATCAAACAAATGAGATGACTAGATCAAACAAATGAGATGACTAGATCAAAAAAAAATAACAACTTTTCAAATTTTAGAAATTTTAAGATGTACAATCATAATATTCTGCAATTTTTCTCTTTTTGTTATATAAAATACAAGCTGAAGGGTCCGGCGTTGCCCGTGGAAAAAAAGTTGAAAACAAATTTGTTGAAAAAAAAATATTTTGAATTTTGTTTAGCTTACAGCCACCCATGAGTGTCTACAAAAAATTCAGCCCAATCGGTCCAGTCGTTTGGCCGGCTATACACAACATATATATATAAGAATGTATTGTTTTATTATATAGATTTCTTGAAGAAGCCTTAAAATAAAAGTAAAATTAATAGCGATCGAATACAAATTTTATTCGGATTCAGCCTATACCCCCTTTCATTTTTTCGCGGACACTCCCTTTAATTTAATTTAATTACAGTTAAAGACAGTTATTTGACAGACAAAAAAATAAAGGAATTGTTAATATTGATCAAAACTTGAAAGTGGTTTGAAAAAAACTTTTCTATGAAGTTTTGTGACTAAAAAAATAAAAGTGGACTATATGTGAAACTCTAAAAGTTAAAAAAAAATACAAATATAGAAATATTCCCTGGAACAAAAGTACTCTTGATATTGAGTTAGATTGAATAAAGTGATGCATTAGCGGCCCTCTGTGACATTAATCTACAAACAAACAAAAAATGATATATTTTACAATACACCCAACATTATAACATTTACACTTTAAAAAGTTTTTACATCTTTAAAATTAAACAGAGAAATATTTATAACAACCTGTGAATTTTTGCGTAAAATGAAAATACATATTTGGAATTAAAATATAATTAAAAGGAATTAAGTCTTTGCCACAAACTTGAATTTTCCCATTCCTATATTTTTGCAACCAGATGGTGTAAGTCTTAGATATTTCAAACTTAGATTATTTAATCTAACAGAATAAATAGTTTGAAATATCTAAGGTCTCGACATTGGGCTTCAATAATATAGGGATTAGAAAATTCGTGTTTGTGGCAAAGACTCAGTTCCTTTGCAGTGCTCCTAACCTGCTATTAAAAAAATGAACACATAAGAACACCAAAGAGTATAACGAATCAATTGAATAAATGATAATTATATATGCTTCTTGAGATACTATAACAGTAACAATAACAATATAGAAAAAAGAGAACTAGTTGTAATTTAGATTCATCAAAGAAAAATTGGTAGAAACTCTCTGCTTGTCTAGCCATAGCAGATTGATGACTTCAAAAATATGTTAAAAGAGCTACATTTGTGTACTCGACCATGAAAATCACAGATGTTTATGGTCCTAATACGATGCAACCCAGCCTTCAGTACTATCTGCGTGCCATAAAGAATCACAGTGATGCAGAAATTAGTTTGCTGGATAAACCATAAATCACAGATGTCTTAATACAGAGACACAGCCAAGGAGAATTTTTGTTGACACGACCAAAAAAATTTACAAATTCATTTCTTGAGACAGCTATACTGGAATTATTTGCTATTCTGGCTCTAATGAATCACAGAGGTGTCTCACTGTTTTTATCATGCATTAAACATTTCACAAAAACATTTCATTACACAGATTCACGTTTCTAAAAAAAGAACTCAGAATTACTTACTGACCAAAAAATCACAGAATCATAATATTTTACATTTGCAAACGGGTACGTTATATATAGTTAAACATTGAACAATAAATCACAGACTCAGAGGAGGGAGGGAAGGCACACCACACCTTTTTTCCCAACCACATATGACGTCACAATTTACCATTATTTCGTCCGATCATACCTTTTTTCGTCCGGCATTCCTTACACTCTTTCTTAAAGAACTTTACTTTAATTCATTCGTATTTTAAGCCACGCAATGTTGTTTATAATGGTTTAAAATATATTTTTTTTAAACACATCTTATGAAGGTACAATAGGCATAAAACAATTCATGGACATTATCAAACCCACTTGCTATGCTCCTTACCAAAAATTTGTTGATTCTATTTGTAGATTCTAAAAATCCCAGCGACTATCACCTAAAAATTGCAGTTTAGGAGGAAAATAAGAAAATAACAGAAAAATATGTATTTTTTGTTTTGTGCTAAATTAAGCTATATATCGTTTTATTTTTCAAGCAAAATGCATTTTGAACAAAATCAAATCCTATCGAATAACATGACGTTGTCTAAATTTGAAAATGTGTTATAGGACATAAAAAATACATTTGGAAAAAGGTGTGGTCAGAAAAAATAATGGTAAATTGTGACTTCATTTGTGGTGCGGACGAAAAAATGGTGTGGTTTGCCTGTTCCCTCACCTCAGGGATACAGGTATGCAGGAAACTATGGAAAGGGATACTGGGAACTATGGTGACTAAACCAGGAATCATAGAACTATGTCTTGATACAGAGAATCATAAAAATATGTATTCATACAGAGATACAGGGATCTATGGAAGCTAAACCTGGAACCATTTAACTATGTCTTGATACAGTGATAAAGGGATCTATGGGAGCTAAACCAGGAAACATATAACTATGTCTTGATACAGGGATAAAGGGATCTATGGGAGCTAAACCAGGACCATATAACTATGTCTTGATACAGGGATAAAGGGATCTATGGGAGCTAAACCAGGACCATATAACTATGTCTTGATACAGGGATAAAGGGATCTATGGGAGCTAAACCAGGACCATTTAACTATGTCTTGATACAGTGATAAAGGGATCTATGGGAGCTAAACCAGGAACCATATAACTATGTCTTGATACAGTGATAAAGGGATCTATGAGAGCTAAACCAGGACCATAGAACTATGTCTAGATACAGGGATACAGGGATACAGGGAACTATACTAGCTAATCCAGAAATCATAGAATTGCGTCCTGATGAACCCAGAGTACATTGTACCAAGACTTTTCATTTTCTATCCTGAAAAATTCAATTATTTAAATTAAACTGTGAAAATTGTTTAAAATATTGTTAATTCAGTAGAAAACAACGATGATAAGTTTGAAATAGGTGACAAACTAATATTAAAGTATTTTGATTTAAAATTTGATAATAGAATGCATATTTAATGTTTTACCTGAGACGTTTAAGTGAATCAAGATCTACTGGGAAATATCCACCGTCAAGAAATCCCTGAAATTACATTAAATTCGTACAATACATTTTTTTAGTTTTCTAAAGAATGTAGAAAATAATAATGTGTAAAAATTAGTTTAAATATTAGAGATGGGCAATGTTTTTGTGAACAAACGAAATTTTTCGTAAACCATGAAAAAGTGAACAATTTAAAATCATTGGAACAATGCAGACAACAAGATCGTTTTTTACTGAGTGAACGAATTTTCCTGAAGCTATTAAAATACCACGTTATTTTACTGAGCGAGCGATTTTTCCCAACAATTTTTTTAAACAACCGTGTTTTTACTGAACAATCGATCAGTGAAAAAAAAACGAACAAAATAGATTGAAAATAAAAGATAATTTTATGAACGAACGAAATCAATTTTTGTTGAACGTTTGAAAAAAACGAATAAAATTGAACGATAAACGAAAGTAATAAAAATCTCTATTAAATGCAAGTTTTACCTGAATGAGTATTTGTATATTAGGACACATATTGTCTCTATTGTGAGTGATATGAACCCATTCCATTAATATGTAAGGAACAAACTTCTTCGTCTGAACAAATCAAATAAAAATGCTTTAAACTCTACTTCGTAACAAATTATTCTAAAAAGAAGAGGGATAGTGAGGGGGCTATGAAAGTATTCCTACAGTTGAGTACCACATTTTAAAATTTTTTTTAAAGAGGTTGCATATTGAAACTGTTCTGATAAATGGTACCGTTGCGAATCGAACATGCCACTCTATAAATAACCCACAAATATATTCGGTATGTATTCACAGAAAAATTGAGGTAAAAATATTTTGCTCTAAAGTGAATGAAATGATTTTTAATTACAAAAAAGTTCGGTAATCCTGTAAATCCTGTAAAGACTTTGTTACCTTTTTGGGTTCGTTCAAATACTGTATAAACGTCTGAAAATAAAAAAGTTTTTTCTCAAATGAATGTTTTCTTGTACGGAGAGAACACATAAAATAATTATTTTCTGTGGAATATATTAGAAAAAAAATTTTAATCCTCAATGGTCATACAATGATGAAAATTGAGGAAAAAATATTACTTTTGTGTTAAGAAAAAGTTAAATTAACCATGGAAAGTAATTTCGAGTCTCTGCAACAAACTAAAGTTTTCTACTACCTATATCTTTACAACCAAATGGTGTAAACCTTTGATATTTCTAACTTAGATTATTTGATTTCATAGCTTGAAATATCTGAAGTCGACAACTCGACATTGGGTTGCAAAGATATAAGCATTAAAACATCAGTTAGAGCACGAAATGTACTTTTAAGATTTTAACACACTTGGTGATTTAAATTTTTTTTTATAAAAACAATGAAAAATACAGATTAAATGTAAGTTTATAAGTTTATTTACCCTGCATTCGTGTCCTTCAATATCTATTTTAACAACGACAGTTTGAGTATGAACAGCATCTAGTAGATCCACAAACTTTACAGATTCAACACCTTCTCCAATATTCAGGTTCTAGAAACAGTTAAAGGGACTGTAAACGTTATTTCAAGTGACCTTCCTGTCCTATTCACAACGTTACCCTTGAATCATTGATCTATTTAATGATGAGGAAGTATTGTCATTTTTCTACTAGAAAAGACATGACTTGATTTTCATTAATTGTGTTTGTTGCATAATCAGTCAAACTCTTGAAATTAAATCACTTTGAATTAAGTCGACCTTCCTGAATAGCTATTCGTGAAATCTAAGTTTAAATTGGATTTTTTAATAAAATTTTAACGCTTACAAAAAAGAATGTCATTTACTACAAAAAGTCAAATAATCAATTTGCTTTTTACTATGCTGTTAACTGTACGTATGGATTTAGAATATTTAGGCAAAAGTAAATACCTAAAAACGTAAATGTAAAACGACTAAACTTGTAAATGACAAACATTAAAAAAATAAGTACTCCACGGAAAGTAGATTAAAAAATTAATTTGCAATAGGCAATGTTGCATATGCCTTTGATACATTTTAAACACTGTTTACGTGTTTTGAATAAAATTAAGTAATATAAAAAACTACTTATCCTTTTGTTAACTTACTGGTTTATTTTTCGTTTCTTCTTCTGTTAAGAAAGTTATTCCACCTAAAAGGATAAATGAAAAAGAAAAATATTGAATATTTTTGTTATTTTTCTTAATTTTTAATCAGTTTTTAAATTATAATAACATTTTTTACCATAACAGTACGACAAATTGAAGAATAAACAATTTCAGTAAAATAGATTTTTTTACTTGTCAATCTTTTACCTTCGTTATTTGGATATCGATACCAAGGATACAGAGTATATTTCTTATCACTAAATGTATCTTTATTTAAAATATATTTGGATATCAATTCCAAGGATACAGATTACAGAGAATATTTCTTATCACTAAATGTATCTTTGTTTAAAATATATTTGGATATCGATACCAAGGATACAGAATTTATTTCCTATCACTAAATGTATCTTTATTTAAAATATATTTGGATATCGATACCAAGGATACAGAGTATATTTCTTATCACTAAATGTATCTTTGTTTAAAATATATCTGGATATCGATACCAAGGATACAGAGTTTACAGAGAATATTTCTTATCACTAAATGTATCTTTGTTTAAAATATATTTGGATATCGATACCAAGGATACAGAGTATATTTCTTATCACTAAATGTATCTTTGTTTAAAATATATCTGGATATCGATACCAAGGATACAGAGTATATTTCTTATCACTAGATATATCCTTATTAAAAATATATTTAGGTCAGGGGATAGGTGGGACTTTTTCGCACCGAGAGGCCATTATTTAGTTTTCACTAGAAAGCCGAGAGCTTGTTGAAAAGGCTATAATAAGCCTAGGAACAACATAGTTTAAAAATATATGAAATCAAAAAATATAATTTTAGTCTAGAACAAGTTAAAAAGCTGGAAACCAACATATCCTTTTCCACCTTAGTGCGAAAGGGTTCAAATACAGAGTCAAGCAAATTGGCAGTAACCTTTAAAATCATACAAGGCACAACATTGAAAATAAATTTTTTTTTTTAAATGATGATTCTAATTTCTTTGTCTGAAAATTTTTAAATAGGATGTTAATCCTGAAAATATATGTTAAAAAATAAATACGAATGGGATTTTTATTCTGATATAAAGTTAGTTCTCTACCTGACTGTGTTAGCAATGTACCGAACATTGTCCTGTGTACCCTGCAGTACTGTACTCATTCTGTACATATCAAATCAAATTTGAAAGGAACTGGCCAATAACGTGAAAGATATGTTCGTTTTTCTGGCTTGAAAATTTTCACCTGTGTTTCTATAGCAGAAGTTATTTTTTTCAGAGAAACCACAGTAGAAAAAATTTATTTTCAAGTAAAAACCATGGATATCTTATTCTTTCTTGATTTTAAGGCTACTAACATGGATCGGGCATGTACTGACATTTTTAACCAACAAAAGTATTTATTTTAAATTTTATAATACAAATTTTATATTTACCTTGTGTATGCTAGGTTTGTTTTGAAAGGATCAACTGAAACAACCCTAAATTAAACTAACTTTCTCAAATATATCTAAACATTATTCTTAAATATTTTAAAAATCTGGGGTTTGATAAACCTGTAGTTCGTTGCTGCAGCAGTTACGCTAAATACTCCAATATTAGATCCAATATCTACATAGATATATTAGATTAGATTATATTAGATCCAATATCTACATAGATTTATTAGATTAGATTATATTAGATCCAATATCTACATAGATATATTAGATAAGATTATATCAGATCCAATATCTACATAGATATATTAGATTAGATTATATTAGATCCAATATCTACAAAGATATATTAGATTAGATTATATTAGATCCAATATCTACATACATATATTAGATTAGATTATAGTAGATCCAATATCTACATAGATATATTAGATTAGATTATATTAGATCCAATATCTACATAGAAATATTAAATTAGGTTTTATTATATCCAATATATCGACACATAGATTTAGAGATATAAATTATATATCATTCATAGATAGATTGAATTAGATAAGATATATAATAGATATATTAGGATTTGATATCTAAATACATGATAAACTAGGTTGGAATATATTTCTACATAGCTATATTATAATAGAATATGTTTGCTAAGATTAGACAAAAAATAACTGAAAGTTTTTGAAGTAGAGGTAATGCAAAAAATACGCGTATTAATCTTTACTTGATACATTCAACACTTGTACACTGTTTGCATACTTGAGAGTTTACCAAACTAAATATCTGATAAAGAATTGAATTCGATATTGACAACTTTTAATTTTACTTCTATCTGTTGCACTTTTAAGGAGAAAATGGTTAAAACTCTGTGAATTAGCATGGGTCCTAAACTCTTCGGTATGAGTAGTTTTTAACAATTTTCTATTCAGTAGCGATCGATATCGAATACAATTCGACCGTTTGAAGCCAACCTATACCCTCTTTTTATATTTCGCGAAAACTCCCTTTAAATAAGTTTACTTCTTTGCTCAAATTTTTCTTAAATTCAGGGTGCATATTTAAACATAAATAAAACCAATCTTAATTAACAATAGTAGATGTTCTAGACTTATTTTAAGAAGATAAACATAAATATTTATATAAATAATGCACATTGGATTTATATGTGGAAACAGAGAGGGTAGAAGGAAGAGGAGAAAAGAAACGAAAATAGAGAGGGAGGGTTAAGAGACAGGACAGATGAGAAATTTAAACATAAAAAAATCAAAGCGGGTTGAGGCGTTAATGTTAGAATTTGTCTTAAGCTGAAGTAAGAAAAATAAACAAGGAAAAATAATAGAAGCGAATACGATATTATGCAGTATTGCTGAAATCGGTAGAAGCTGAAAAGCCTATCCGACTAATCTGTACTTAAGCTGATAAAACTACTTTAATAATGTTAAAAAACTTATATACCGGTCCGGTCGTAATAACCAATTCGCCTTTATTAAAGAAAATATTATTTCAAGAAATATGACTTATTTCCTATTTTATCAAAAAAGTCTTTCAATCAGATTAATTATTTAAATATTATACTTTACGTGAATGCCCAAAATGTAAAATGTGTTTCCTATGGGAGTGAATCTACCAATCCCTTGAAATATTTACCTAACAAGGTTCCATCAGGGTAGTTTTTTATCAGTTTCAGAATCAGCTCAACCTCTGGTCTCTCAAACACACCTAGCAGTGTGTAAATCAGTTTTTAGTAGATTCAGAATCAGCTCTCTCAAACACACCTATGTAGTGTGTAAATCAGTGTGTATTAGTTTCAGAATCAGCTCAACCTCTGGTCTCTCAAACACACCTAGTCTGTCGATCAGTTTTTACTAGTTTCAGAATCAGCTCAACCTCTGGTTTTTCTAAACCTATGTAGTGTCTCGATCATTTTTTATTAGTTCTAGAATCAGCTAAACCTCTGGTCTCTCAAACACACCTAGAGGAGTGTAAATCAGTTTGTATTAGTTTTATAATCAGCTCTACCTCTGGTCTCTCAAACACCCCTAGCAGCAGTGTGTAAATCAGTTTGTATTGGTTTCATAATCAGCTCAACCTCTGGTCTCTCAAACACACCTAGAGGTGTGTAAATCAGTTTTTAGTAGATTCAGAATCAACTCTCTCAAACACACCTAGCAGTGTGTAAATCAGTTTTTAGTAGTTTCAGAATCAGCTCAACCTCTGGTCTCTCAAACACACCTAGTGTGTAAATCAGTTTTTATTAGTTTTAGAATCAGCTCAACCTCTGGTTTCTCTAAACCTATGAAGTGTGTCGATCAGTTTTTATTAGATTCAGAATCAGTTCAACCTCGAGGTTTCTCAAACACACCTAATAATAGTGTGTAAATCAGTTTTTTAAAGTGAACTTAATTTCTTTTATCTATTATCTACTGAGCAAGATCTCATGTATTTTTTCTTCAATGTTACGTGGAGAGAAACCTTAACATGTATTTTCCAACATTATCATATTTAAAACAAATATTTTTTTAATATTTGCTTTGTTTGCGAAGGCAAATCAGGCAAATGGTTTTAGAAGTAAAATGCTAATCCGGTTATCGATCTTATTCAATGTTTAAATATACCTGTCTCAAATATCGGCTTGGAGATAAACTAAAAGTAAAAAAATGCATTATTTCTCGATTATGGTATTTTTATTCGAATTAATACCTCGTCTACTTTTAGCTCTTTAATGCACATCATCAAGGTCAAGTCGTTAGGAGGGAAGGGCCCACTTCTGTTTTTTAAAACAATGTTTAAAAATCAAAACAAATATTTAACCCTTTAAAGAATACATTCTTTGTTTTGAAGCGAAGTCAATATCGTAATTTCAAAATCATAATAATATAATATTAATCCATATGAACAAACTTTTAGCAACCCTCCATTTTTAAAGTTCATATCATATCAGTACCCTTTAAAGCTTTTTATGAAAAAGAATGAAAAATATATCTTTGAGTTTAAATTAAAAAATGAACTTTTTTCTATTGTGATTTCTGTTAAAGGTTTCTTGTGGATTTCTTACTATAGCAACAATGGAGTATCATGTCAGAATGAAACACTTTTCAAGCCAAAAAAAACCGACGATAAAAGTTTAAGGTGAGTGTTTGCGAAAAATGAAATGAAGTATAGACCTATACCCCCTTTCATTTTTCACGAACACTCCCTTTAAAGGGTACCGTTGTTAGTCTGGCATGCCTCTTTTTTAGTGGAGAATCACTTAAAAATTACAACGACAATCCTTTTAAACAAGAAGAACATTATTAGAAATACCGGTTTTAGGATTTAGATTATCTAGTTCGTGGATTTCTTCCTTGATTAGGAAGACGATATAAAGTCTACTACAGGAGTGGAGGAAGTCCAAGCAAAACAATATGTCGTCCATGTCACATTCTCCTCTTTTTCTCTTAAGAGCCAGCTACAAATTCTGGTCCTTCCAATATAGTTTTTTTAAATCTGGCCACCTTAGGGCAAAAATAAATATTAAAGGAATTGAGTTTTTGCCACAAACTAAAATCTTCTGATTCCAATATCTTTGCAATCTTATGGTGCAAACCTTTGATATTTCAAACTTAGATTATTTTATCTATAAGTATAAAGAGTTTGAAATATCTAAGGTCTACGACATTGTATTATAAAGATACAGAGATTAGAAAATCATAGTTTGTGGCAAAAACTCAACTCCTTTTCCCAAACAAATTTTAAATTTGTAAGTGAATTTGCTCCGTAAACTATGTTCTACAAAAAAAGCATTTACATGTTTTAATCTTCCTAACACAGGCGAAAGGTTTTATTTCGGGTAAATCTTCTCCTGAAATAAATATGCATTCATTAATCAATACACATCACACAAGATAAAAATATACATCACACAAGAAAACAATCCAGCAAAGCTGTCATTTTTTGCTTTTGCCATACAAGAAGCTACTTAGACTATAAGGGGGCCATGAAAGAAATTTTGCGCCAATAAAATCAAACATTCAATATTTTCTTTTTTACTTTGTGTCTTCAAGACTTTGTCTTAAAATAAAAAATATTTCTTGCGTTGGTTTAAAATATTCCGGATCCGATAAACTAGCTAATCATAGTCTATTATTATTTTTTAGTTATTTACAGGGAAGTTAATGGAATTTTTCTTTACAAATAATTGCCAAAGGTTGAGGGAATCTGCATAGTTTATAAAAAAGCGGGACGTTCATTTACTTAATTGTCCCAAGGAACAGTTAAGTAACTTGACATGGACCAGTAATGTTGGTCAAACCGGAGATAAAATAATAAAAAAACAAATGTTATACTGCAATCTTCAATGCAGGCGTTCCATATTGGTAGAATTGTCGAGAGATTCACTATTTAAAAAATGTATTGTTTAGAATAGAATTATTTGCAAATATTTTTAGGAACTCTTGTCTCAATAACATCGAGAAAACCGTGGGGGGGGGGGGGTAATATTCTTTATCAGTTTTGATTGTCACGGTCTAAAAAAGAAAGAATAGGCTTAAAAGCCAACAATTTCATTATCACTCTTTAAACAAACCTCGTATTTCATTGACTACTAATTTCTGAACTGAATTGTTTTTGGGAATATGTTGTTGATTTGATTCTGGTAATTGTTGAAGATCTGATTCTGGTAATTGTTGAAGATCTGATTCTGGTATAAGAGTGTCCAATACTGGTACTTCTAAAACAAGTAGATAATAATAAGTAGACAAATACTTAATAAGAAAAATATGATAAAAGTAGAAATTTTCAGGCCACCATGAGATTAGTGTTTTTTTTTCAAATTATATCAAATTTTATCAAAGAAATGCCTTTATAGTAATTTTAAGCAACAAAACAAAAAAACAATGATTATATTATCACTTTTGTAATTTTGTAATTTTTGGAATATTGGGAATCAATAATGATATCTTTTTTTATTTTTAAATTTCTAACTCTTGATAGATCTTTCAGAAACATGTTCCTTTTGTAAATACGTTTTAAAAATTGCTTGTGTACTCTTTTTTATCCTATTGGCAGGGGAAATGATTTTTTTAAATTTGGAGGCAAGTTTAAACCCAAAAGTTAATTTGTTTACACTAAAAGTCAGTAACTTTCTAGCAATGTTCCTAAAATGTTCCTAATATACGGAGGAAATAAAAATCAACCGGTAATTCTATTCACAAAAAAATATATACTTCAAAAAGGTTGTGAAGAACTGAAAAAAAGAGTACGGTGAAAAATACCATCCAAATCAAAATTTAAAAGCAAGTTAGTATAATTTTTTCATTTTTAAACACAAACATTAATAAATAAATCGACAACAAATAAAATCAGATAAATATGATGCTTACTTGTTTTGATTTTTAGGCAAAAGTATAGAACAGAGAGGATAAAAAATATCAGTGCAACCTGAAATAAAAAATTAGCTAAAATTAAATGTGCACACTAAACCACATCGTTCCTAAAGAGAATAATATGAAAAGGTTAGAGAGCTTGTTAAAGGATTTTAATGTAAAAATTAGTTTTATCTAAAAAATGTTTTATACAAGAACTATAAAATTTTGCTGAAATGAATTTATTAATAAATTTTTGAATTATTTATTGTTCAAAGTGTATAACGAAGTTTTCAACTATTTCTAAAGGACTTAGTCAAAAGACAAAAAACCGTATTAAGAGTTAAGACCCTTTTCAAAATTATAAAATTATCTTATTATAAACCCTCCATGAAAAATTTAAAAAATCCCAGAATGATTTTCCGGTAACGATCTGATCGTTCAGTAAAATCGTTCGTTCAAAAAAATCGTTCGTTCAATTTAAAAAAATCATACGTTCAGTGAAAAAAACGATAGTTTTTCAACATCTTTTTTCAAGTTTATTCGAAAGATTTTAAATAATTCGTTTTTGTTTTTTATCGTTCGTTTTTTCTGAACGATACAATTGTTCACGAATGATTTCGTTCGTTCATGCACAAAAACAATATTTTGGGACACCCTTCAAGATTTGAAGAAAAATTTTGGGACACCCTGTAAGGTTTAAATAAAGATTCCAAGACATTTCCTGCAAGATTTAAAATAGAGATAAAAGTAAAACTCACCTTGATCAATTTCTGTTGCTGTGCTGAACGAAGCATTTTACCTTGACAAGAATTAAAGTCATTTCTTTTTATATTTTTTATTTTATACAAGGTTTCTAATTAAACTAGTTTTCTTATTCAGTTGAAATATTTAATATTGTTTTTACTCTGTATCACGAAACAAATGTTTACCCACTTGTTGATAAAAGTCAACTGTTATCTTCTCTACGTGTAAATATTGTAAAAGCCACACCAACCCCAACTAGTGTTCAACATGTCCGGTTTATATCGATTTGAATTTTGCCACTTCAAGATTTGGACTGAAATTAGATATATTTTCCAAATAAACCGACAAAGAAAGAAAAAATATTTATGTACTATACTCGTACATCTAAATCAGCTGTGTGACACCAAAAGTTTAACATGTTTGAAATTTTTTATTTTACTTATTCTGTTACTCGAACTCTACTGTTTACTGACACCGTCAACATAGAATCAGCTAGGGCTCCTATTACACCTGTATCAAACTATCAATACAGGCTTGGTAGGTTTACATATTTATAATTTGTATGAATACAGGGACTACAGGGTCGGTAGGTTTACATATTTATAATTTGTATTTATACAGGGACTACAGGGTCGGTAGGTTTACATATTTACAATTTGTATTAATACAGGGACTACAAGGTAGGTCGGTTTACATATTTACAATTTGTATGCATACAGGGACTACAGGGTCGGTAGGTTTACATATTTACAATTTGTATTAATACAGGGACTACAGGGTCGGTAGGTTTACATATTTACAATTTGTATTAATACAGGGACTACAGGGTGGTAGGTTTACATATTTAAAATTTGTATTAATACAGGGACTACAGGGTCGGTAGGTTTACATATTTACAATTTGTATTAGTACAGGGACTACAGGGTCGGTAGGTTTACATATTTAAAATTTGTATTAATACAGGGACTACAGGGTTGGTAGGTTTACATATTTACAATTTGTATTAATACAGGGACTACAGGGTCGGTAGGTTTACATATATAAAATTTGTATTAATACAGGGACTACATACAGGGTCGGTAGGTTTACATATTTACAATTTGTATTAAGACAGGGACTACAAGGTAGGTCGGTTTACATATTTACATATTTTCTCTTTGAAAGTAGACTAATTTAATCTTGATTTCTCTGGAAAGTGACTTGTAGAGTTTGCTAATGAAACAATGGAGCAAATTATCAGAATTCAGCACCTTTCGAGCTGAACTACACATACGACTATATTATTGATCAGATTCAGGTATAAAGGGTACTGTTGTGAATTCGTCATGTCCTTTTTTTTAACTGGAGGGTCCGTTTAAAAGAGTTTTAAATCATTTGGAATCAGTGATTAATAAGACGTACAATTACAGTCTTTTACAGAGCAATATTTCATCGTTAATAAACCATTCGGAGAAAACTGAGTAAAATTTAAGATACAAAACCTCCCCATACTCTTGATATTTGATGTTTGTACTGTATGAATAGGCCATAATCTCTTAATATCCTTTATCAGTAAACTGTCATAAGTGTACACTCAGGCTTATATAAGGGATTGTCGACGTAATTTTAAGTCACCCCAAATTTAAAGCACTACAACTGCATGGACTATACACTTCAAATAATTTATCGGATTAAAGATGGGGAAGATCTCTCGGCTTTTTATTTCTGGAAAAAATGTGAATTCTCTCAACTTTATGTATTTGCAAAAATAACCAATTTTCAGATAGAAAACCCTAGACAACTCATTTCAAGAATGTTTTTTTAGTTTTTGAAACGCCACTGCCGNATCTATCTATCTATCTATCTATCTATCTATCTATCTATCTATCTATCTATCTATCTATCTATCTATCTATCTATCTATCTATCTATCTATCTATCTATCTATCTATCTATCTATCTATCTATCTATCTATCTATCTATCTATCTATCTATCTATCTATCTATCTATCTATCTATCTATCTATCTATCTATCTATCTATCTATCTATCTATAAACATATATGCAAGTCTGTGCCAAGTAGCTTCAACTTCTTTAAACCGAATGTTTAAATCTAACACTTTTTTGATCATCTAATTTTCATTGTTGGCTTAGAAAACTTATATTTTTTTGATATTTTTTGTTTGTTTAAGATTTAGTGACTGAAGTTGGAAAAATTAGGTATAAAATCTATAAATGTTATTTTTAGTTTACCTTTTGTAGAACATAAACTGTCATTCCTAACATTTTACAACTGTATAATCTAAATCCTCATGCAGATACAAAATATTAAATACACGATTAAAAAAGTGCAAAAATTTGATATAGAATTATTTTAATAATGCAGATAATTATGGATAAATTACGGTATCAATATATCCATCTCGCTATCTGTCTGTCTGCCTATCAAACAATGAATTTCTACATTATTGACCCATAGCGATCTATAAATACTTTATATCATGCAATCCAAGCATTATCTCAAATTCATTTCTACTTCCTGTTCACGTTCGTAAACTGGGCCTTCTTTCAAAAATAATAGGTCAATAATTGAATAATTTTTATGTGTAAAATTTAACACCAAAAAGTTTTGATTGCTAGAAAATGAGACCTTTGGTCAAAAATATTAATTTATTCTTGTGTCGGGATTCTGAGATCATGATTTTATTCTTTCATCAGATCAGTGAGATCAGTAGATCTGGTAGATATAGAGTCCGGACATCAGATCATCAGTGAGATCAGTAGGTCTGGTAGATATAGAGTCCGGACATCAGATCAGTGAGATCAGTAGGTCTGGTAGATATAGAGTCCGGACATCAGATCAGAGAGATCAGTAGGTCTGGTAGATATAGAGTCCGGACATCAGATCAGTGAGATCAGTAGGTCTGGTAGATATAGAGTCCGGACATCAGATCATCAGTGAGATCAGTAGGTCTGGTAGACATAGAGTCCGGACATCTCATACATATCAGACACAATGACGCAAAAAAAAATCACACTAAAAATAGCAAAATCAAAGAACATGTTTTACAACGCATTTCAAAATAGGAATGACTAACAAAATGAAAAAAAAGAAACAAGACAAAATGACAATTGCTATCATTTATTCATTTATCAACAAGAATAAGAATGAACAATCTTTTAAAAAATTATCAAAATAAGTTTAAAAATAAATAATATTTAGTTCGAAATATCAAACTAATTAGTTTACTGTAGAATTTTTGTAACATTGAATAATTAAAAAAAACGATTCGTAAAATCATCTCTCCAGAATGGACAATCCAGGAGGATTTTAACGAATGAATTTGCGCTCTTGCATTGCTGAACAGTAAACATTTATACACCGTAAAAACCTCTGATCGATTGGTCTTAAAAAATCCTTAAAAAATTCTCAAACTGCACTCTCAGATCAACTACCAAGTCTACCCGGTCTCTCCCTTTAAAAGCATGGATTCCTGTGAACATTCTGTTCATACTTTGAACAAAATGTTCTTAATATATTGATGAAGAAGAATTAAAACAATGAAGATTTAACAGCAACATAATACACACCACACCATAATAGTTTAGAACATAGAGATCTGTGCTGACCAATTCAAAACTCGTGCATCAGATCATCTACGACTATCTATCTGTCTATGTATCTATCTACTGTGCGTTTCACTGAATCATGCAAATGATTAATTTAAGTTTGAAATTGAAAAAAGGGTCTTTTAGAGATTTCCAATATGAAATTAAAGAAAACAAAAAGTGTGTAAAATTACACTTTGCTTACTTTGTAATATTTTTTTTTTCAGAAAATTATTTAGCAATAATCGAATTTCATATATCTAACAAAATACTCAAAATAATATCAATTCCTTTCTGAACCCTAAACCAAAACAATTTCAACGAAACAAAAACTGTAAACACAAGTATAAAATTAGTTGACACATTTTTTGTAAAAAACACTTTTTATCTAAATCTAACCTGTAGGATCACAAAAATCATTTTAAATGTTTAACGCACTGTATATATATAATATGTATGTTATCTATTTATTCTATGTGTAACTATCTTATTATCTATATTTATGTCTTAACTATCTGTTTATCTATCCATCCGTATTTCTAATTATATGATTATCTATCTATTTGTATGCCTTACTATCTGTTTATCTATCCATCCGTATTTCTAATTATCTAATTATCTATCCATTTGTATGTCTAACTATCCGATTATTCTATCCATCTGTATGTCTAACTATCTGGTTATCTATTCATCTGTATGTCTAACTATCTGGTTATTTATCTATTCATCTGTATGTCTAACTATCCGATTATTCTATCCATCTGTATGTCTAAAGATCTGATTATCTATCCAACTGTTTTTCAAACTATCTGATTATCTATCCATCCGTATGTCTAACTATCTGATTTTCTATCCATCTGTTTTTCAAACTATCTAATTATCTATCCATCCGAATGTCTAACTATCTGATTATCTATCCATCTGTTTTTCAAACTATTTAATTATCTATCCATCCGAATGTCTAACTATCTGATTATCTATCTATCTATCTTTATGTCTAACTATCTGATTATCTATCTGTCTTTATGTCTAACTATCTGTTTATCTATCTATCTTTATGTCTAACTATCTAAGTATCGTGAACGGTCTGACGAACTTAAATAATGTCTACATTAAAACATCGTGACTTGCTGACTTGAGAATTGAATTTGAATATACTATCCGACCTTATGCATGAGTGTAGTAAATAGAGTAACAGGCTTTACAGTTTAGTGTTCATACAGACATCACACATTTTTCTAAGTCATTCTAAAGTATTCTATTTTTATGTATTTCTATAGAATAACAAAATAATTAAATTTTTTGAAAATGCTTGTTTACTTTCAATGTTAGCTGCTACAACCTTCTAAACAGACAAACAGAAGAATATTTCTCCTGTTGAATGTATAATCAGATCAGATTTAAACAACATCCATCAGAAGAATTGGACAAAATAACCACCTGACCACACTACTTGATTACTGTAAGAAACTACTTTATCAGATTATCTATCTATCTATCTATCTATCT